CTCTATTTAAAGTTTTCTCACCGGATTCGGGGAGATCTCGGCGAGCGCAGTCCAACCATGTTTTCAAAAATAAAAATAAAAAAAATTGACCCACTTTTGGGCCCAACCGGACCACCTGGGGTCCAACCGGCCCGGTTGGGACCGGTCCGGTCCAACTGGCCGGTTGACAACACAGCTCTGGTACGAAGTGTTTTCCTAGATGCAGAAAAAAAAATAGTCATGACCATAGCAAACATGAGGAACACCTGCACCTGAGGAAGACACAAACCATCAATGTGCATCATACTCTACATCCGACATCTTCCCAATTCTCGATGCTTCCAAACACCTGTACCAGTAAAACGTACTTGCAACCACACCGTGGGGTTTGCTGCACGCCGTGCAGCATGGCACCTGCTCGTATTCCATACCAGCAGCAGTTTGCCAGTTTCCCTTTTTTTCTTTTTTTGCTGCTTTTTCTAGATCAGAAGAGTGCACCACCGAAGGAAGAGATCTTTTTCAAGTACAGTCATACATATTTTTCTTGCCGTCCAATCGGGCATGAGAAATAGCTTCAAAATTTCAAATAGGTGTCTGAGACATCAGTCTTGACATTTGGGTACCAGCACTACTCTCCCACTAGGTTTTTTCTTTTGATCCCACAACAAATCTTCAAAGGGGACGCAGGTGACCATTGACCCAGGCAAGCGACCCCTTGTTTTTCTGAGTGAACATTTCCCCCATGCGCCACACATGTCATGCACCACACCGTGCTGGTCCCGCTCGCGTGCGTACATGCGGAATTTCCCACACGGTGTGCGCTTGCATGCACTGGAAGAAGCCCCCATCTTATATTACAAACTGCTTTCCAGATGCAGAAAACAATACTTGGAAATCCCTTGCTGGGCACAGAGCAGGTATGCTGATACATACCCAGTTGGGCAATGTATGTACAGCCAAGGATCCGCAACGTGATGAAGAGGACTGAATGGACAATGCAATGTTAGTGAAAACATCAACAGGCAATGTACACCCTGATACATACAAATTGGCACAAAATAGCGCAGCGGAAGACTTTGAGAAAAGTCCTGACCTGACCGGGACTGACTCGACACCCCATCACTCGTCACACATGTGAGAGAGGAGGAGGGACCACATACATAGAAGAAAGGTCCCACTTTTGTACACGCACATGGGGATGTACCACAGATGAGAGATGCGGGGAGAGGAGAGACAAAGATGGACGCGAGGGAGGAGACCAAGATCGCAATAGCGAAGTCCAAAACTAGTCCCTGGCTGATGTCCAATCAATGTCTGCCTCAGAAATGTCGAATCAGATCCTGGGCTTTCTGCCCACATTAACCTCTGCCTGTATCCTCTGCCTGTAACCTCTCTCACTCTCTCTCGTATCTGATGAAGGAGGAGGAGGAGGAGGGAGAAGACGGGAGACGAGAGGGAGGCCGGCGAAGAAGAAGAGGATGTCGTCTTCGTCGCTGTCTCACCTGCAGGTGCTACTGCAGAGCTGACCGCCGTCCTGTTGTCGCCGTGTGCAGGTCGCGGGCGCACAGGGAGCCCCAGCTATGGCGCCAGGTAAGTCCCCTAACGTAGGTCTGGCCTCCGACACTCTGCCTTCCAGTGTTCAGCCTCCAACAGCGCAGTGCAGCGCTAAAGCAGCGCTGTGCTCAACCAGCCGCGCGTCGCTCCAAAAGGGAGCTACCCGAACTGTCCTCAGCCCAACCTCAGCCCAGCTATAAGTAGCGCTGGGCCTGCTGGGTGTCCTCAGGTACTGGCCTCAAAACGGCCTACTTGGTCTGGGCCCCTACCGGGTGTCCAGACCGCGCTGCTGATGCAGCGAGGCGTCAAAACGCGCCTGGCCTGAAAAAGGCCTCGTCCCTGTGTACCTGGCCCAAGGCCTCGCCTTGGGACCTGCAGTCCGAAACGGCGTCTGGACCTGCAGTCCGAAACGACATCCGAACGGACAACTGCCGGTACCTGCGGCCAAAAGGCCGCCATGGGCCTCCAGGGTGCGCGCTGGATGGCACGCGGCTTGGGGCCCCTTATCAACCGTGGGGCCCCTCAAACGGGGCCCGTATGCAGGCGCAGCACGTAACATATGCCCCCCCTTCTGGATCCTCTCAGCATTGGTGCTTGGAAAGGCATCCTGATCCGCACAGCACCCACTTGTAGCTGTATGCAAAATTGGCGATACAAATTTGCCTCATTGCAAGCCCTTGCCCCTCAAACTGCCTTCCTGTCCCCATTCGAACTCTCCGAGGTGTCCTTGCACACTCTAGCACTCGAGCCCAGTTCATCACGCACAAGCACCTTCGCTTGTGACTGGTCTTTTACTTGCCTATCTTCTCTCGTCCGCAAGTCCACCTCCCTGCAAATATCCCTTTCTCTCCCACCCCTTCCCTCCACCTCCATCAGTTTCTCAGCCAACATCTTCGCTTGTGACTGGTCTTTTACTTGCCTATCTTCTCTCGTCCGCAAGTCCACCTCCTTGACCTCCTTCCCTTCTCCAGGCAACAGGTCCTCTTCCTGTTGACTCCTTGTTAGCTACCTATCTTATCATGCATATGTTATATCATGTATCACAATTGCTGGCCACCTATTTTATCATGCATATGTTATATCATGTAGCATCATTGGCTATTATAAAAGTTTCGGTGGTACCCACAGCAGGTGCCATGCATACTACCACTTCAAGAAGAGTCGTAAGAATAATCACCGTAGTACCGTACATTAAAATTGCGGGAATCAGCAATTTGGCCCATGATACAGGGTTTGCTTCCAGCAGCATTCAACATCAGGTCATGTCCAGCACAGCTGATCAACCTCGGTCTGCGACTGCATCAACCCCCAGGATCATAGGAGCAGCATTGATTAGTCAATGCACACCATATCCTCCCCCACGGGGGCAGAGGAATCTTCGCTAAGCTAAATGTCACAGACCACAACAACTATTTTAAGGAGTCAGGGAATACCACGAAGCAAAGCAACCATCACACAGTCAGGGAAACAGCAGCATATGGAGGACCATCAGAATCTGAAAAGTTTGGATGATATCAAGAGAGGACCGCCATGGCTGATTGCTCGAGGAGTATGGAGTAGTCTATGATAGAATATCAACACATATCCAATTATAGAAACATGATAGAATGCCATGGCTACCATTCCAACATCAGGACAAGTGCCCGGACAGTCTGCTTAGTGTGGTCTATAGAAGCTGGACGTCCACAGCCCTGTCCGGAATAATTGAAATTTAAGCTTCCAATAGTTTTGGAAAAAGTATATGTTATGCAGCATCGCAAAACAAGCAACTTTCAGCTGAGCGTCGTTTGCATTCTACCTTGAATCACGGGTGACGGGTTGGCTACAGGGTATGCCTTCGGGTGTGACCCTGCTATTGGTGGTGGGGCAACGTCAGCGGGGAGCATCACTCTGTGAAGGCATCATCATGATGGGCGGTGAGTGTCCTTGGAAGTTGAGCAGGGAGCATCATGATGTGGCAGCAGAAGATAAATTTTGCATACCTAGCGGTGAGCGTCCTTGGATGTTGAGAGCGTAATTACTAATTTGACATACCTAGCTGATTCAGATGTCTGGCAGCAGAAGAGTCAGAAGACAGATTTTGCATTCTTAAATATTGTGGCTTCAGTTGTTTGCCAGCTTAGGAAATTCTTGTGTTCTCCTTGGTGTTCTAAGTTCTGACCCCTTGTTCGATAGACCATCGAGTCAGTGCTGGGTCAGTATTCTCTCTGTCATTCAGATTAGCATTTTTGTTCTCAGACAGACTTCGCTTCTTTCCTGGCCTAGCTACCATCTTTCCCTGAACATAATAGGGTCACTATAGCTGTATTTAGGGCAATTTCAGACCAGGAAATAATGTCCATGGTTAAGGGGCAGACAGTAAGAGTTTGTAATTTGGAACATTTGCCGCACTTCACAGGTTTCGACAAGCATCTAGAAGTCCTCCACCTGCCGTCTTCACCCAAATAGAACACCCGGTCAGTATAGCGGCTATAGCCGTATTTGGGGCAACTTTCAGTCCAGATGCAGTCATAATGACCGGGTGTTTTATTCGGGTGAAGACGGCAGCAATAAACTACCAAATCAGGATCATACTCATGATGGGTAGCTCAGCACCGTACTCGTAGGTGGGCATTCGAGCAGGAGGAGGTTGAGGATAACCTTACCACAGCAATGATGAAGGCTGCCTTCAGGTTTGCACAAATCTCTGAGCAAGCCCTTGTTGACAGGAAGGGGAACCACCTGCAGACGCCGCACATTGTAACATATTCCACACACATCACCACTGATAAGAAGAGTGGCAATTAAAGCAGGAATACCCGGCGCCAGGCAACTTGAAACAAACGATCGGCGAAATCTGAAAAGTTCAGAGGCCCGGGACAACCGGACCAAAATGGCTGGTGGCGCCACTCGAAAAGAATTGAAACAAAAACACCGTGCTGGTATTTCGGCAAAGCTTAGCACACAGGGGGTTTGCCTCATACAAACAACGCTCGGATGTACTTGTGGTTTAATGAGCAAGTTTAAACTTCGACTATTCATATAACACGAAGCAAAAGGTGGCCCGCCCACCCACCCACCCCATGTAAAAGGGCCTTTACGATTCAGACCCCTAAATGTGACCCCAACATAAAAGGGGCCCTCTCGGCCAGAACTCCATTTCACGAGCAGCCTTCCAAAGGACAAATTCCTTGTAGCAAATGTCGCATCCAGAGTGAAATGAAAAGTCGTTTTGAAAAGTCACAGTCAGGTCCTAGACGAACAGGTACTGGGCTCAATTTTAAGGCTGAGACAGGGTCATGTCTGTTCGGCAATAAGTCAAAGGTCACAGTCCCAGACGAGTCACAGTCCCAAGGGTCAAATCTGATTCAGACCAGGAGTCCAAAAGACAGGCCCGTCGGCCAAAGCAGCAGCAGACCATGGGAAAGGATACTGGGACACACACTTTGCAACAACAGGTACTGGGTGGGAGTCCCAGGCACTTGGAGGCTGGAAGCAGACCACCCCAGACCAGTCCACCACTATAAAGGACTAGTCAGCCTCCCATTTAGACAGATATTCGCATGAGAGTGTGGAAGTGCTGAGGCACTTGTGCGCAAGATGTGATTGAGCTGCGAAGGCTTGAGAGCTGCGCTGGATGGAGAGAGAGAGTTGGGCGCTGGCTGGAAGTAGCGTAGCCATTGCTGCGTCGGCGCCAGTTAGTAATAGTCGTAGGAATAGTTAGTAGAGAAGACCAGTGAGTAGTATTCAGAGTAGATCCTTGTGTGATAGGGAGTGTGCATTCATGGTGAGTGTGAGTAAACCAGGGTTATAGACATTGAGAGAGAGAGAGAGAGAGAGAGAGAGAGAGAGAGAGAGAGAGAGAGAGAGAGAGAGAGAGAGAGAGAGAGAGAGAACAGAAGAGGAAAAGAGAGAGAAGTGAGCTATGATGGAACTTACCTGCTGAGCGCCGTTCTTGATGATTGGCTGCTGGCGCTGATGAGCACCAGGCCTGAAACTCTTATTGGATGAAGAAGACTTGTAATATTGTTGGGCGCTTTACATTTTTGAACACGTGATTCTCTTTCCTTAATCTGGTTGTGATAACTGAGTTGCGCTTCCTGGTTTCCACTCATCTTTCATTGAGCTTTGTGTGACACATTGCAAATCGGTGAGATCTGTGTTACAGGCATGTTATTCGATACACTCCAGCAAGTGACGAACGAACAGGTTCCTTGCGATTTTGGTACACCGGTCAAGAACATGAGTGTTCAAATCCTGACAGACACAAACGAATACAAGGAGCTACCCTCTTTCCTTTAAAAAGTCTAATAAAAATAATGGTGGCCCTTACGAGTTCAAATCTCTATTGACCGGTACACCAAAATTATCCCTGTTTGACTCGATAATCGCCCCCATACACAGGGAGTTTGCCTGGAACTACTCTTTGAGAATTTTGCACAGTCATTGTTGTCCGTTGGTAAGTCTCCAGCAAAGCCTTAAGACGTTCGAGAAACAACAAGAATAATAAGACCGTGTTAAGTCCACAGAGACCGGACCCAGTTTACAGAAAGATATTGTTTTGCTGGGATGTTGACCCATTTTGCAGCTGGTGTTGATTTCCGGATCCAATGCAGAAGTAAAGACCAAAATGAAAGATGGATACTCAGACTAGTCCCAAAAATGGAGATCATCTTTCAGGGAGAACGAAAACGAAATTGATTTCGAGGAGAAAGTAACAAGAAATTGCCCAACTTCAAGTTCAAAAGGCAAGAAGATTTGTCTTTTCTTTTTCGTTTTGGAGAGAAGAAGACTTGAAAAGCGGCTTGTCCTAATCAATCATGTCGGGCTTATCTCCTCCAGATTGCACGAACTATAACCAACTGATGCATGCCCGGAGTGAACCGTCCACAATACAAGTCCAAAGATCAACAATATGAGGAAGAGCAGAAGGCTCAAATCACTTAGGACTAACTGACTGCAGAAGAAATGATGATCTGACTCAAATCCAAGCTCACACCCAGCAGGACAGGTACAAACATAGATGAGACCTCCCACTGCAATCATACATAGATTAAGTATGATGAGGGAGATGCAGAGAAAGAAAAGAAGAAAGGAAAAAAAGAAGAAAAGAAGAAGACCCAAACGTATGGCAGCCCCAGATAATTATAGTCTCCTGTCCACCTCAATCTCCCTCCAAGCCCCAACAATGAATCTCAGATCTCGAGTCAGAGAGCCTGCCTCCCAAAGTACCAATGTCAAGTATTCTCTCTCTCTCTCTCTCTCTCTCTCTCTCTCTCTCTCTCTCTCTCTCACACACACACACACACACACACACACACACACACACACACACACACACACAGAAGAAGAAGAANTCTCTCTCTCTCTCTCTCTCTCTCTCTCTCTCTCTCTCACACACACACACACACACACACACACACACACACACACACACACATACGAACATGAAGCTGACCGGTGGAAGGCTAAGCCTTGAGCCGCTGATCACTGCAGGTATCTGAGAGAAGAATGTCGCCTATGGCCAGCAGCCGACCTCCAGGATATGGCGCCAGGTGAGTGGAATTTTCCACCATCACCTCATCTCTCTCCTCTGCCTCCACAGCGCTACTCTACTCTCTTAACGTGGAGCTCCCTGTGTCTCCACCAGCACTGGGCTGCTCCAAATCGCACAGTCGGGTGGCATGCGAATGAAGTGAGAACTACCTCAACTACTGGGCTGACCACCCCTGAGTACTACTGGGCCGGCCACCAGTCAGGCCAGCATCTCCTCTAGGCCGTCCAGCCTCACCAGGATCTGGCGGTCCAGATGAGAAGCCGTGTGACCAACTCAGGCCCAGGCCTGAAAATGTGCGACTTTGGTCCTTACTCAGGTCCAGCCCCTGCCATGCTGTCTCAGCAGCACATTCTTATTCCTCACCCCTCCTTGCTCATCCTTCCTCTCCTCCTCCTCCAGCTTCTCCTCCCCCCTTTCCCACGTCCTCCACGTGTCCTTCTTCCTCGTCTTCCTGCTTATCCTTCTTCCTCGTCTTCCTGCTTATCCTTCTCCTCCTCCTGATCTTGTTCCCCTGCTCCCCATTTCATTTTTTTTGCCATTCATTTCTGTACCCCTTTATTTTCAGTCTTCCCACGAGGTACCTGAACCCTCTCCCCTTTTTTTTTTTTTTATTGGCCCTATGGACCACGGATCAGATATTAAACTGATCAGAACAGATAGTACACTTGATCTTTTCCTCTCCCCTTTTGAATATCCCCTCCGTACAAATCCTTCCCTCCATTCTCTCACAGCCTCATTGATGAAGCTGTGAAGCATCACTGCTTTAAACCGTCAGTACACGTCCCAGCCTTGTAATTCATTCATCGTCTACTCCGAAAATTTCGTGCCTCGGGCCTACTGGACCACAATGGCTGGCGGCACCAGCCAAAAGAAGTGTGCAGATGGCAGTTCGGCAAAAGCCGACGCGCAATGCAGCACCTCCAGGCCCGGGCATACTGGTGGTTTAAGCTGTGTCCTGGGACAGGCATGCACGGGTGAAGAAGGCTCACATGCTTTAAGCTGTGTAATGGGACACTTATGTGAGAGTGTAGACATCAAATACAAATTCATACAACTAGTCAACAAGGAAGCCAAGGAAGCTCACATGCTTAGAGTAGGTAACAGCTTATAAGTGAACTCACTGGTACCACAAGCCACTCGATCCTGCCGCATAGCCAAGAATGCTGCCCAGAGATGTCCACAACGAATAAAATGCTTGTGCTGCTTCGAGCTGATCCACTCCTGCGCAATCATAAACATATGGCATATATCACCTTCCTTTCTGAACCAGAATAAATTGATGGATGTTATAGCAGCAAAAACTGAGTTACATCAATGACTAAGGGCCAGGCGCCGGTGGTGCTATGTTTGTGGGTGGAAAGCATGAACTTCGTCGAAAGCATGAACTTGGCCCTTCATGTGGCCAGATTTATGCCTTCTTAGCACGAACATAGCACAAATCGAGTCTGCCCCTACGACTCAGTTCCATTCTAGGGTATTTCACTTTCGCTGTCTGCAGGCAGCATTGTTCGCCTCATAGCATAATGCAAAGATATCTCCAGGAGAGGGGGAATCAATGGCTCTGTAATCAGCATGCATGGTTGCTACGCTCCAAGAGTTTGGATGATCACAGCTGTAAGATATTGCATTAAAAACCAGCTCATAAAGTGGAGCAAGGGAAGATCAGGAAGGCATCTACTTGATGATCCACACGACCAGTCGTTTAGACTACCCGTAGTGCGAGCCCGCTCCCTAGCTCATCAAAGGGAAGAGTGTGCCTCCCCACAGCATGCCCGCTAGGAAATCCGCTTGGTCCAGAAGGAGAGCCCACTCCTGGAAGGTCCACTCCTTGCAGCACTATGGGCTTACTTGCCAGAAGCAACGACTTCTCAAATTCTACTGCGTGGTCAAATACAGAGTAATATTCAAGAATCCGCCAGCCAGACCCTACTGGCCACCTTCACAGACTTAATGGAAACATTTTCGGGTCACACAACCATGTTGCCTAAATATTTCAGTGTGCTCGCCAACCCCACACAACTTCCCCCTTCTCATTTCTCCACAGTAGTGTTCTGGCCCTGGCAATTGCTTTTTTCACGCGCTTGGACGCGAAGAATTCTTAGAGGCAAGGTCGAGTTTTGGACCTGCCAATTGCTTTTTCACACACTTGGTCAAAGAGAATCTCAGAGACGGTGCCTCTCTCTCTCTCTCTCTGTGTGTGTGTGTGTGTGTGTGTGTGTGTGTGTGTGTGTGTGTGTGTGTGTGGGTGTGTGTGGGTGTGTGTGTGTGGGTGGGTGGGTGTGTGGGTGTGTGGGTGGGTGTGTGGGTGTGTGCGCTTTGCAAACTGTCACCACAACAACCCCTTCTTTTCACTCAGGTTAGTAGATCCAAAATTCAAACCTCCAAAGCATACAACATGAAACACACCAAAACTGCTATATTTCCTTTTCCTTCTGACCCATTGATTGCAGCTGAGCACGAGCAGCTCATCACATCCCCGTGTGCCATAACAGACCACTTGCACAGTATGTGAGCGTGTGGCATGTGCTCATACACACGTCCTTTCCCGCCTTGCCGTGAGCAGAGCCGCAGCAGGAAACAAACCTTGCAATAAAGGCACTTACAAATTGGGTAAAGGGAAATCACTTCTAGAAACCATCAACAAGCCCTATCTGAGAATCCTAGCAACAAACTCTCCCTGAGAATCCTTATAACAAGCTCGCTCTCAATCTGAGCCCGCAGAGTTGACTGAGCTATAAGAAGAAGACAAAAAGAGCCAGAGCGGAACCGCCCACGCCGAGAAGGGTCAGGGAGGGCAAGGAGTTAGTAAGTACGATATCCCAAATTACTGTGGATGTTGCAAAAGACAGTTGATATGTGGGCACAACTGGAAATAACAATCCATAAAAGAGTGATTCGGGAAAATTTTGCGAAGCAGTGATGTCTGAGCGGATTTGTCCTCGAAAGCAAGAATTGATTGCGCTCTTGCGGCTTCTGTTAAGCTAAGTATGACGAGTTGCCAAATTAGGACGTGATTTCTGGCACCCGTCAACCCAATGTCATCTGTGTGGTTCAATTTTTTACGCATCTCCAAAGCTGCAAGCTCATTGAGAACAAACACTTAGCCGTATTACAAAACGAGTTTGCGAAAGAATAGATCCGTATATCTGCCCCAGAGTTTGTGTTCTCTCAACGAAGAAGAAAGACCTCCGTGGATCTTATCCGGAGGAAGGCTCTTGTTCGTCTGCGGAATCTGACTGGGGCACCCCTAAAAAAGAGGAGCCACTGATCCAGCTAATATAGTTCACAACTTCACACGCATAAAAGTGATGAAACACATACCCAAGCATAAATCCAAACCCGATGAGACGAACTGAGGTAAAAACAAATCCGAGGTATTCGGGGTTGGTAGCGTCGAGGGTATCTGTGTACTGTAGACGTTGTCACGCTAAGAAAATAAAATAAAATAGAATAACAGTAGCAACAATAAGAATTTATAAGCACCTCAGTAAGAGGCGTCCAGTGACAAATAACATCATGTACCTTGGACATGCGCAATCGAACGCGGAGAACTATTGTGAAGAAGAAGAAGAAGAAGAAGAAGAAGAAGACGTGGAAGAAGTGGAAGAAGACGTGGAAGAAGACGAAGAAGAAGAAGACGACGACGAAGAAGGAGGAGGAGGAGGAGGAGGAGGGGGGGATTATCGTGGAGGAGGGTGTAAGGACCTGCCAAAGCGAAAGGAAGGGAATTGAGAGGAGGAAGGAGCACAAGCTGGATAACAGCGGACGTAGGTCGTGGGCAAAGACACAGTGAGAAGAGGGGGGAAAGGGTGAGGATGTCAGGAACATACTTCTGGTGCCAGAGACATGTGTCGAGTCGTCATGACAGACATTGGATGAGGATCGACAGACATGTGGAAAGGCAATGACAGAACTGCAGGGGAGAAGGTGGAAGGGAGAGGAGGTCATGGCTCACACAATGGCATGGGTGAATCATAACTAATGAAACGTTGAAGATCCAAACACTGAAGTTGTCAAACGAGAGTCGGCAGAAGAGAGAGAGAGTGTGGTGCAGGAGAGAGGTATTATGGCACAAGCAGTGAAGAGGAGGAGATGAGTTAGAAGATGGATGCAAAATCTCCAATAAAGCAGGTGCAACAGGTGAGAAAGCACCCAGCAAAAAGGAAGATAATGAGATAGATAAAGAGAGTGCAAGGAGGGGGGGGGGGGGGGGGGGGGGGGGGGGTAGGTGCAAAAGTTGTGACATACTGCACTCACCCACTCACTCACCTGCCAGATCAGCCAGCAACGCACGCATAGGACCCTGAACCACAAAACAGAAGCTGCTCAGCACTGAAGAGTCAATAATGGATCCAAGAGAGCTTTTCTTTTAAAAAACAATCTTTTCCTAAACGGCAGAAAACAAGACAAGGGAATCCTAAACGGCAGAAAACAAGATAAGGGAAGTACCTCACAAGCCCTTCAATTAAAAAAAAGAAGAAGACGAAAAGGAAAGACCTCTGTACCCCTTATAGGCCCTAAGCCTTGACCCAAGCTCTCTCTCTCTCTCTCTCTCTCTCTCTCTCTCTCTCTCTCTCTCTCTCTCTCTCTCTCTCTCTCTCTCTCTCTCTCTCTCTGTGTGCACAAATTGGGGCCCCCATCCACGTGGTCATTTCGCTGCCCATTAGGTTTCTCAATTCAGTCACTGCTGCAGTGATGTCAGCATTCTTAATCCACTGACAGATATGTTCGTACTAACCCTTCACTGAACATCAGCAAGCAGAGTTTGAACTCTCTCCACTCATTTATCAACAACAAGCAACGGTAGGCATATCCATTTGGGCCAGAAAAAACAATCAGTTCAAGGGATGGTATACCTTTTCGCCCTTCTCTTCCTAGTTCTTCCTACTCTCAAAGGAATATTTGCCAAAACATTACTGCACCAAACAGCTATACATGTATGTGACATATTATCACGGTATTTAGTGGGTATTTAGGCTCCTGAATTTCTGGGCCAACCTGGCCCCTGGCCATCCGCGCTGTGCTGGCCAGACATGTCCCGGACGACCTTCCTGGGGCAGACATTCTTTCGAATCCGGACAAGTCAGGAAAGGTACAAGCAGACATTTTTTCGGTCCGGGATGTTTATGATATTTTGGACTCGCCAAATGGGGCCCAAATCAAAGCTTGTTCCCAAAAAATGTGAGTGACCTCAAATGAGGGTCTGAAGACTCTGAACCCACATAAAGGAAGCTAAAAGGGGCTTAAAACTTTAAACCACCACCACCTCCAAGCTTCTTTTTGCCGAGGCGGATTGCGACTGCGCGCCAAAGAAAAAACAAACAGCCACGGCCTTTTTCTTTTCTCTTTTGGAGGCGCCGCCAGCCATTTTGCTCCTGTAGCACTGTTCATCCAAAGTTTTCAGAATTTCGTATTCTTGATGCCGTATGGCCAATTGTGCGCGTACAGCATGTGACCACACCGGATCCGTGTGGGGCACAGCAGGTGGGCCCCACGGGGGAAATAGACACTTCGAAAGAAAAGGGATCACAGGCCTGGATCAGAGGAGCTTCTTTTTCTGGTTTTTTTTTTTGAAACTTCAAACTGAAACATGAATAGAGCCTACTTTACGGCCTGAACCCTATTCCTCAACAAGGAAACTAATCACCCCAGGAACCAGAACTAGCAACCAACTATTCTATCAGGCTACCCATCCTTAACTTCTACCTTTCGGCTCTCGAAAAACACTTCTTCTCAAGTCTCAAGCCCTCCTTCCTATTAGAAATACAGGACAGTGCAACTCACCCCAGCTCTGCGGCCCCCTCGAAAATTGTTGTGGGATGAAAAAAAGCAGAGAAGAGGTGGGAGATAGTGTGCTGTCTGACTACGGCCTAGCTGGTCCTACAAACCTACGGGGCCTAAAATGGGCTGAAATGACACGGGGCCTAACTGGACCCAAATACCCCCTAACCAACCCCTAGTCCTACCTGGTCGGCCCCAGTAGGGCCCGTGTGGAACTCAGAATGCCACACTAGCCACCTTCCGATCGTCTTTCATCAGGGTGTTATATGTTATCACTGAAGGAGCGGAGTAGCGTAGCCCCCCCCCCTAGTGATGCTCAGGCATGCAACCAAATCAGCTACCAGCCTACCACAGAATTTCAAGTAGACCATAATGGTTGAGAAATCCCAATAGCACCCCCTATGTCGGGAGTGCTCGCATTCAGGGTGTTATATGTTATTGTTGAAGGAACAGAGTGACCTAGCACCCCCCCCGGTGGCACTCAGGCATGCAACCAGATCGCTACCACACAATTTCAAGTAGACCATAATCGTTGAAGAGAGGAATCCCAATAACATGCGATATCTGGCAGCTATGTCGCAGGTGCTTGTATTCCTTTCAGGCCACTGGATTTTACAGCTCAAAATGAAGTTCAGACCTTGAAAATGCTGTGCAGAAATGTGTCACACATAACGAACACCACCTTGCCGATTGAACCATTCCAGCACACTCCCAGGAAAGCTGTGTATTCCTTCCCTGCGGCGAGCTTACAAACGGAAACATGACGAGAGCACATTGGCCCCAAACATTTCTGAAAATGAAAAATTTCCCTTTCATTTCTGAAACTCAGCCTAGCTACTGAGTCATCGGACTTCCAGACGAATTTGCATCATCTAGGACATGCCAATGAATTGAGGAGAGGATACTTGCCTGGATAGTGTTATTAGCAAGATCAAGGAGCCAAAATCCCATAATGAACACAATGCGAGCCCACTTTTTGTGCCTGAAGAAGAGTATGTCCGGAAACACACACACAGTGTCACACACCAGAAACATAAACCACATGGTCAGGAGAGGTGTGGTTCAAACACACATTGCAAAACTTGTACCTAGTACATACTTCTTCCACCCGAGCCAATGTCCAAAACAGTATTCACAGACACTAGTCTCATTCACACACATCTTCGTCCTACTCACATGGCAAAATAACGGCATATCCTGCACATGCTTCTTCCTCCAAGGGATACAGTATCATACGCACAGATGATGGAATAACAAACCTTGTATCTGCATATTCCAATCGACACGTGGAGCAAACCAATGGCAGGCATAACTCATATCATGCACACGTCTTCGTAACCTTCCTCCTAGCATATGCCAGCTACCAATTACGGGTTAGACCAACACTCTCAACCTAAGGGTCTAAAGCATACATGCGGAGCATCACGTGCGCGCAAGTTGCGCACGTGCGCCGCATAGCGCACGCGCACGTGATGCGGCGCAATTACGGATTAAAAAAAAAAAAAAATTCAAAAGGTCAGGCTGTGGTAACCAAATGTGTGCCTCCCTTTCGATAATTGTAACTGCACGGAAAAAAAATAATTTGGAGCCACATCATACTCCTCATTGGATTTAGTCTCTTTTCGAACGGGTCCCCTGCAAAGAATTAGTGGGGATCCCATTCACTTGGAAGAACATGCGTTGAACTGCTGGAGGAACACGAGCAGGCCAGCAATATATTTTGGATTCGGATTCAGGTCTGCGTTCCAAGAGTTATGGGTTACGAACTTACTCCAAACACTACAGTAGCTGTCTCGTTGCTTTGTTTTCCTTTTCTTACGTGCAGTGGCCCTAAGGGCCTCGCTCCACTCGTCAGCACTTGCACAAAAGAAAAACATATGGCTTGTACGGTTCCAGTTTCTAGGAGATCCATTATGTAGGGAATATAACTCCTCCACATAGACTTGATGATTCAGGTTTGGTTTAGCGTTACTCCCTTGGATGCATTGATACCGATCAGCTTTGTTCCAATGCCTCCCCGCTGATCATGTTTGCTACAACACCTCCCCTACCACGCAGTTTCCTGACATGATTTTTCCAAATGCTTCGTGAAGCTTTTCCAGTGCACAGTGCCTCTCAAAACCTCAGCTTTCTGCTGTATACCGAACTGGTTCATGTAAACTTGCTCCCATGGATCTGCAGATTTCAAACAAGGCACTCTTCTTTTCTTTCTCTTTTTCACGGCCCTTCATACACTAGGTGACTAAGCACATAAAAACAGCCCCATCATTCAAACACCTTTCAGATGCTAGAACATGATCGCATCCCTTCCTATCAACTTCACCCTTTTCACCACTGTCTGTCCTTTCATCTCTCTCTCTCTCTCTCCACCCTTTTCACCACTGTCTGTCCTTTCATCTCTCTCTCTCTCTCTCTCTCTCTCTCTCTCTCACACACACACACACACACACACACACACACACACACACACACACACACACACACACACATGCACAGCACTTCACACACTTTTCTTGACAATGCCCGAGCGCACAAGCGCGGCAGGGTGATGTGTCAGGAGCCAAGGCGTCTGTATGGATACTGGTGGAGGGACAGTGACAAGGTCCAGGCTTCCAGAGTGGAGAGAGCAACTGCACAGAAAAAGCTAATCCTGGAGGGATTTCGCTAACATTTTACAGACCAGGCTTAGCAATTGAAGGCACTTGAGAAAAATGCCATAAGGTTGGGACATCAGGGCAACCATGTGAACACTTGGAAGCCCTATAACAATTTTTCCTTTCAGACAATCCACGGGATCCATACCAAGATATCAGTTACCTACTGTTCGCTGTTTACATGTGCGCAGTGCACCGCACCACTTTTTCCAAGTTCGAATTGTGTTTTCTCATGTCCACAAGGACCAGTCGGATCCGATTATACATCACGCATGAAAACAGAGTAGTTTGTACATGAAAGCTTCTCCCTCTTAAATTCCTTGCCTCTTGCCTTTCTCCACTTTCCCTTCCTCTGCTTATCTCTCTTCTCCTCAATCATTCCCTTCCACCTCTGCACTTCCCTCCCTATCCCCCCCCCCACCGACCTTCTCCCCCCATCACTGCTGAACTCAACATTTTCCCCTTCCACCATACCTCCATTCTTTCTTCCTTCCCCTTCCCTTGGAATACTCTATCTTTCCTTGGCCGTTTTATCTTTTTTTCCAGTCCTTAAGCCACCACTACCTTTCCCGATGTTGGAAAAATGGGAAAATATCCTACTCCAAAAAAATTGGAGGCCGAGCCCGACGACAGCCGCCGTTGATAAATCTCACTGGCGGCCGTCGTTTCGTTTCGGCCTCCTAAAGAGTCGGGGGGCCAACGTGGGCCTCATGGGAAAAGGTAGTGGTGGTTTAAAACTTCCTTTTTTTGCCTCTTCCTGTTTCCATTTCTCATCTCTCCCTATTCCATTCCCCACTTTCATTCCTCCCCCCTCTCCTTTCCCTACAATTCCCCCAAGAGCAGCTCGTGCGGAGAACCAAATAGATAGGAAGAGTACGCCAAACCAGCTCGGGGCAGGAGTGTGAAATACCATGAATAACAAGAACAACAACAACAATAACAAAACCAGCAGCAGGTGGGTCCCTTGGTGCTAAGTTGTTGACCTACCAACAGAAGGAAAAGCGAAAAAAAGTTTAAAAAACCTGAAAGCAAGCACTTTGACACCATTTTTTCCTACTTCAAGGCTTCTGCACGAAGGTTTCCAAAACATGCCTGCATGCAGTCCTTTCTGTGGGCCAAGAGCACATGGCACCGCTTCGGTGCTCACGTAGACCTAGACCATGTTTGTCCGTATTTTTTGATGCCAGAACGACACTGGCCGTTGCTGGGGGGTTGCCCTGTAACCTGTTGATAGCAGGAGCGTGAGGCCTGGTAGAGAGATCTGGGGATGCCTTGGGGCGGGCATTCCAAGGGAAAACCAAGGTTTCCTGTCGGGACGACGCTGGCCGGAGCTGGGGTGAGTCGTGTTGCCCTGTAACCTAGCAGGGTGGGGGCATGAGGCCTGGGAGAGTTCGGCAGGGAATAAGACAGTGTTAGAGAATTTTAGAGTGTTTTGTTAGGGATTCCAGGGGTTCTGAGCATTCGAAGGACTTCTGTGGCTTTCCTTTTCGACTTAGTAATTGCTGCTTGAGTATCCTAGCAATAGGTCAGCGGTTATCCATGTTTTTCCTAAATTTTCCTGAACTCCTTTAATAGTTCTCAGATTGTTCTTAGCCGAAGCCAGGCAATGGCCCTGGTAAATGATTTGTACAATTCTATAAGGGACGCTGGGCCCGGTTCCCAGCACGTGTTGCTCCCCACGAATAGACTGGGGCATTTKTTCCAAAAAAAAAAAAAAAAAAAAAAAAAAAGACCATGTTTGTCCGTCATGTTCAAGGCTCGGCCTGCCACAACTTTTTCTATGAAGCAGTTCACATATCATATCGAGGAATAGAAGCAGCGCACCATGCCATCACCAGGAAATTTATGAGAAATGGTAGGTCCGGCTAAAATGGTTGGAGACACCCGACCAGACTCGCCAGAGTCGTAACTGGAAATATGAAACCGGGCAACTTCCTAATAGACAGAATGGTTTCATCATCCAAGAACCAACCATCGTAGCAACATATGCAACCATATACACTCTGCGCACTGCACATGTCTGCTCGCCAAATGTTCACAAGTCTCTGACTACCACACCCTTCAGACATAAGGGGTTAAGCAGGTCAAGGGGTGACTCACTGGTGTGATCAGGCTGTGGCTAGGAGATGGTCATGTAAGTTAGACAAGGTCATCACTGCACAGAGACCATATGAGAACCAACCAAGAAAGAAAAGGAAGTGGTCGCGAGATGAACAGAACGCACCTGTTACTGCCGCGGGTCGCCCCTGAGCGATCTCGAGCTGCCAAGTCGCTGGCAGCATCAACATCTAGGCCATCTCCTAGTAAATACCCAATATCGGTTGAAAACCCAATAACTAGTATCTGCAACAAGCCAGCCAATTTATCACACATGTCTAAATGCTTCAGCATAGATGTGCATGTACACGACTACGCATTTGTCTAGCTGCATGCATATCATGTGTAGCTCCATATCATGCATGTGCATCCGTCGAGCTGCACACATATATTGTCAATTTGTCACATATCGATCAACTAAAAGATGCACTTTGTGAAACAAACGATAAACATACACAAGACGAACATGAAGAGCACACTGAACCCATTCTTCCGATCATTTCTTCTTTTAGCTCCACCTTTACTGTGCCTCTCACGTACAAGGCTCACCACGTCGATGAAGCTAAGAGCAAGCTTCCCACATCCCCGTGCGCCTGTGTGCCATAACGGCCCACTGTACACTGTGAAAAAAAGGCAGCGTACAGGGGATAATATAGACATTAATATAAGAAAACTAAAAGATTTAGACAGATACAAGCAGGTGCAGCCAGCGCAGCTTGCGCCCGCGAACACCGTCAGGAAGCAACCCCAATGAAGAATCTCACTTCGCTCTTTCTGTCTCTGACTATATGTTCTCTTTGTTAGTGTATGGCTGGTGCTTTCTGTATCACTGTTTTAGCTCTTGGCGTCTTCTGTCTTTCTAAGTGTTTGTGGAAAGCAGAATAGTAAACAGCAATGGTCACAAACAGCAAGGTCATACACAGTCACAAACAGAATAGTAAACAGCAACGAATCTTCAACAATTCGAAGAACATTATCATCGTCACCAAGAAAGAGACGACTTTTTTTTTTCTTCGTTTCTCATTTGTTTTTCCTGCTACACACACAGCGTCAGATCTCCCTGGAACTTCGGAAGCGCGCACCAGTTTGACAGTAGATGCGGAAAGGAGTTACCACACCCCTCCCGCCCATTCGCACCTCCCCAATGAGCCGGCCAAACCACCTACCCACCACCTCCCCACCGAGCCGGCCGAAGCACCTCCCCACCGAGCCGACCGAAGCACCTCCCGACCACCTCCCCACCGAGCCGGTCAAAGCACCTACCCACCACCTCCCCACAGAGCCGGCCTAAGCACCTACCCACCACCTCCCCACCAAGCCGGCCGAAGCACCTACCCACCACTTCCCCACCGAGCAGCCGAAGCACCTCCCCACCGAGCCTACCGAAGCACCTCCCCA